TAAAGGAGTATGTTTAATCTGTGGTATCACGTACTGTATGGAGTTCATGTTGTGACCCTGAATTGGAATCAATGGCCATGTTTTTTTTTTTGCATGAATGCTCGGTGAGTTGAGTTTTTCAGTTCAGTCCCATGGCGGCCACGGCCACAAACGTGAGCATTTAGTAAAGGCATAAATTTGCTAAAAGTATGATTACTTGCAATGTAACGATTCCGACGAAGAGTGATATTCAAGCAATTAACTTAAGCCTATGGTCGTGATATAGTTTTTAATAAAGGTTTGAAAGAAAGTAACTGTGACCAGACTAGGGGGCGGAAAATTGTTTTGGGCCTAGGGGCGCAAAAATGCTAAATCCGGCCCTGGTTGGAGATCTACTGATGAGCTGAAAGAGTCTCATGAAACATACACAGATGCTTTTATGGCCAAGCGGACACTTCTCACTCAAGCCTTCAACTATGACAAACGTTTAAAAGACATTATTGCGGCATCGGAGAATGCAAGAGACAAAATTCAAAACCGAGTTGAAGAGATCAATGCAGAAGAAGGAGAGGTTGCTGATCCATCCAATATAGCCTTTCAGCCCTTTAATGAACCTGTCCCCGCATCCCAGCCTGTCAGGGACAGCAATTGGTCGCCGAATGACGAGCCGTTTGAGAAAAAATACCAAAAACTCAATGACGACCAAAAGAGAGTGTTTGATTATGTCAAACGAGTTGTTGCAAACTCTGATGGGACAGATAAATTTCTCAGACATTTTGTAAGTGGTGTGGGAGGTACTGGTAAGAGTTTTCTCATAAAAACTATCAGCTCTTGGACTAAAAAATGTCTTCAAGCCTCTACATCAATATCAGCTCCCACAGGACTAAGTGCTTACAACATCAATGGTTCTACGATCTACAAAGTGTTTCAGCTGCCAGTTGAGCATGGAAAAACTCCAAAGTACAAAGCTCTTACTGATGATGTTTTAAAAATGTTGAGATCCAACCTGAAAGATGTGGTGCTCTTCATAATAGACGAAGTGTCCATGGTCTCCAATCTAACATTGATGTACATAAATCTCAGATTGTGTGAAATATTCAACACCTCAGACCAAAGTAACGGCTGGTTTGGTAAAAAACATATACTGCTCTTTGGAGACCTTTTACAACTTCCACCAGTACACGAAGACTCCCCTTCATTCATTTCTCGACATTCATTGAACTTGACAGTAGCAAACTTAGTTCTTTTGTTGGCTCTCTGTCTTGTGTTAACATCTGGTCTGAACAGTTCTCTTATGATGAACTTACTACAAACATGCGACAAGCTCAAGATTCTAAGTTTGCTGATGTGTTAAGCAAAGTCAGAGTAGGCAATATGACCGTTGAGGACATCCGTCTAATTGAAAGCAAGAAAATACATCTTAATGGAAAAACTGCTTGTGAAAACCTTTCTCTATTAGGAGATTACTTGTCTGCTTTACCCAACAATTCTGTGTGTCTTTGTTCAACTGGTTACCAATGCTCCATAATAAATGATGAAATGGTCAATAGAATAAGTGGTCCTGTTGCAACATTTGCAACAGTCCTTGTTTGTAAGTGGTCCTTGTTTGCAACTTGGTTGCAAAAGACTCAGTTGACTGTCTACCTCGTCAACAAAACAAAGTTAAAAAGATACTGTCCTCTTACAACTCTGACTGCAGCAGAACGGCTGGTATGGAGAAAATTATTCCTATTAAGGTTGGTGCTAAAGTTATGTTGCTTAGAAACATTGACGTCACTGTGGGGCTAGTTAACTCCGCCATTGGAACAGTAACGGGGTTGAGGTTTAATACAGACAATTCTGATGACGTAGACTCAGTGACAATTAACTTTGATTGTGGCATTACCCATCACCTACAGCGAGTAAACGTCAAGTTTCAAGTTATGGATAACGCATTTGTGTATCGAGAGCAATTCCCGATATCGATGTCCTACGCGGTTACAATTCACAAATGCCAGGGCCTCAGCTTAAATAGCGTAATAATTGATATTGGGGAGTCCATATTTACATGTGGCCAATCATATGTTGCCTTGTCACGAGTGACTTCATTAGAAGGGCTTCATCTTATTAACTTTAACCCAAGAGATGTGAAGCCTCAGAAATCCGCCATTCTCGAATACAACAGACTAAGGCAGAAGTACAGGTCTGACCTTCCACTTTACAACACAAGTTGTGACTCCTCTTCGGCTCCTTATGTGAGAGACAGGAAGTGGTGCCAGACCAAAAATGTCAAAAAAGTGCAGGATGAGAGTACAAAACCGGTACCCTCTGCAAAGACTACCGGAAGATCGAGAGTTCAGTCAACTTTAGCATTAAAATTTATTTTTTTTTTCAGAGAAAAGAGTATTTTTATTTGAACGGTTAATTTTCTACAAAAATAAATAAAATCTAACAAAAAACCACTAAGTGGTAACACTTTCCCCGCCAAGTCAGCAATCCAAAAAAGATAATAAATCATTACTTTTTCCGCCAAGAAAAACAATGTAATGTATGTAAGTTTGGCAACTTGGCGGCAGACTTTTGCTTGGTTTTTTTTCATTTAAGTTACGTTCGTGGATAATTTCACAAATCAACTTCTCTAATTAATTAGTCCAACTAAGTATAATAATTTCGAGGTAATCAGTAAATATAAAACCATCACTATTATGATTTTATGAAATGTGGCACAAATAAGGTCAAGTTTTGTAAAATAAGCTCTCACCTAGCAATGTACTAATGGGAGAGATACTTGCTCAATGAAACTAGTTTTATGGTATTTTTAAAGTGATCGAGCAAAAGTCTGCCGGCAAGTTGCCAAACTTACATACATTACATTGTTTTTCTTGGCGGAAAAAGTAATGATTTATTATCTTTTTTGGATTGCTGACTTGGCGGGGAAAGTGTTACCACTTAGTGGTTTTTTGTTAGATTACCATTATAATACCTCAAAGTTGATGTGATGGGCTCAGGAAAAAGTTTGTGCACTTTTCCTGATGCGAGTTCCTATCAACCATATACATTTTGCCATATAACTTCGTAATTCACTTGACTGTCGCAATAATATTTATACTGATTATTCTACACATTGTATATTGCCATTAGAATACCTCAAAGTTGATGTGATGGGCTCAGGAAAAAGATTGTGCACTTTTCCTGATGCGAGTTCCTATCAACCATATACATTTTTCCATAAAACTTCGTAATTTACGGGCTTGCCGCAATCATACTCATACTGATTATTCTACACATTGTACATTACCATTATAACACCTCAAAGTTGATGTGATGGGCTCAGGAAAAAGATTGTGCACTTTTCCTGATGCGAGTTCCTATCAACCATATACATTTTGCCATATAACTTCGTAATTTACTGGACTGCCGCAATCATACTCATACTGATTATTCTACACATTGTATATTACCATTAGAATACCTCAAAGTTGATGTGATGGGCTTAGGAAAAGGATTGTGCACTTTTCCTGACGCAAATTCCTATCAACCATATAGATTTTGCCATATAACTTCGTAATTTACTGGACTGCCGCAATTATACTCATACTGAGTATTCTACACATTGTACATTACCATTAGAATACATCAAAGTTGATGTGATGGGCTCAGGAAAAAGATTGTGCACTTTTCCTGTTGCGAGTTCCTATCAACCATATACATTTTGCCATATAACTTCGTAATTTACTGGACTGCCGCAATCATACTCATACTGATTATTCTACACATTGTATATTACCATTATAATACCTCAAAGTTGATGTGATGGGCTTAGGAAAAGGATTGTGCACTTTTCCTGACGCAAATTCCTATCAACCATATAGATTTTGCCATATAACTTCGTAATTTACTGGACTGCCGCAATTATACTCATACTGAGTATTCTACACATTGTACATTACCATTAGAATACATTAAAGTTGATGTGATGGGCTCAGGAAAAAGATTGTGCACTTTTCCTGATGCGAGTTCCTATCAACCATATACATTTTGCCATATAACTTCGTAATTTACTGGACTGCCGCAATCATACTCATCTATCTATCTATATATTAATAGGCAAGCATGTTTCTTTAAAACCTTTTTTCTCAGCTCGTGTGCATCGTAGGGAAAATCTACGCATACCGTTGGAAAGCTATTTTCCTGTAGATGTGCAGAATCCCTTTATAAATTTAAATAGGCTCAAAGATAAGCACAAAAAATGAGTTTAAAAATTTGAAAAAATTAACATGGATCTTATGCGTTGCTATGCTGGTTACGAAATAACAACGAAATATAAACAGAAAATCAAAACAAATGGAGGAAACTCCAATCACATGTTTTATTTACAGTGTGGGGTGAAAATAGATAAGTGAGTACATTACATATTTTTGGTCGAGTTTCGACCACTGGACGACCTCTCGTACTGATTATTCTACACATTGTATATTACCATTAGAATACCTCAAAGTTGATGTGATGGGCTTAGGAATAAGATTGTGCACTTTTTCCTGATACGAGTTACTATCAACTATATACATTTTGCCTTATATCTTCGTAATTCACTGGACTGCCTCAATCATATTTATACTGAGTATTCTACACATTGTATATTACCATTAGAATAGCTCAAAGTTGATGTGATGGGCTTGGGAAAAAAGATTACGCACTTTTTATGTTCGGAGTTTTAATTGATCGCGTTATGTTAAGCCATAGCTACGTATAATGTACACTACGGTCTCAAATATGCCTTTTAAAATACGTCAATTAATTAGTTTTAACTTGTATACACGTTTTATCAATGTATAATTGACATTATATAAATATAAAAACATCATTTCGCACCGTATTGTCATTGAATTGTGTTTCCGACATCCCTGCAAAACACGTTTGTGGCGTCCACAGAAGTACCAACCCACATCTATTACAAACCAAAAAAGCGCCGATGAAAAGAGCCGCTAACTTCACGACGGTCCGTCTGACGGTCTGGTCTGGTCTACTCTACGTCTACGTCTCGTCTAGTCTAAAAAAAAACAAAAACCCTAACCTAAACACAGTTACAACAGTTGATTGGATTTTAATAATTGATTTGCCTACAATTCGGACTTAATTACACGTTACTCACCAACGTGCATACTTATAAGTTAATTCCTTATGATTTTAGATTAGTCTCTGACTGCCAGTTTATTTCCAAAGGAAAGAAAAGGTACGTTCTAACATTGTAGGCCTAACTTTAACTGGAACTAGGCCTAACCTAACTTAGGCGTCATTCTTACATCTTACATACGTCCTCTTCATCGCAGTCGTAGAGACTGGAGAATCGTCATTTACTACTTTCTCACTTCTTCTTATAGTAGCCCTATGTAGTAGTTGTGGTCTTCATAGAACTCCTTGATGGTGTAGTATGGTCTTTGAAGGAGGTAGTTTTTTAGTGCAGCAGTGAATTTTTTTGTGTTATTTATTGTTTTGAGATGTTGTGGAAGTAGGTTGTAGAGTTTTGCTCCCATTGCAGTGGGGGTTTTGTTGGTTTAATTTAGTCTGTTTTGTTGGGTGTTATAGTTTGATTTTGATCTGGTGTTGTGGTTGTGGCATGTTTGTCTGGTTTCAGGCGGATTTTGTTTTATGAAATTGATGGTGTCAAATATGTATTGGGAGGTTAGGGTTAGGATTTGGTGTTTTATGAAAAGGGGCTTGCAGTGTTCAAGGTAGTGGGATTGGTCTATGATTCTGGCTGCTTTCTTTTGAATGATTTGAATTTCTTTTAATAGGCTTTCGCTGGCACTTCCCCATGCAATTAGGCCAAATTTCAGGTGTGAAGCGAAGATTCCATGGTAAGCCATCTTGGTGGTTTCTTCGTTAGTGATTTCCCTGAGTCTTCTAAGGGCATAGATAGCTGATGAGAGTCTTCGCTGGAGCCCTTCCAAGTGGGGGTGCCAGTTTAGTTGCTGGTCAAGAATGATGCCGAGGAATTTGGTTGTGGGGTTGGCATTTGTTGTGTCTTCTTGGGTTGAAGGATTGTTTGTTGGTGTGAATTTCAGGCAGACAGTTTTAGATTCGTTGATTCGGAGATTTAGGCTATTGCAGATTTTTTTTGCTGTGTCTATTGTTTTTTCTGTTAGGTTGGGTGTTGGTGTGCCCGGGACTATGATGGTCGTGTCGTCGGCAAACATTATACATGTATTGTCTGCTGGTAGGAGGGTGGGGAAGGTGTCTATGTAGATCAGAAAGAGCAGGGGTCCCATTTGTTGGCATTAATTTGAAACATAGGCGTAGGTTCTTGTTTGCAGTTTACTAAATTATTTTTCTGATTATCTGTGTAGTGTGTAGGAAGATTTCAAATTAATAGTAGGTAACTTAACGTAACTAACTTATTATTTTCCAGAAAATGAGAGAAGGTTCAAAATCACTAACTTAGGCCTAGACTAAGTTAGATCAGTTTTAAGCTTACTTAAATTAAGTAGGTAATGAGTAATCAGGGGTAACCCTGGTGTGCCTAATTTATTTGTCTTATTGGGCCTGTTAATATCAATTAATTATCAATTAACTTATCAATTATTTAAGATGGGGACGCCACTATGTGCATATTTTAACCCAAATATGAGTGTAGGATGAGTGGCGCGATCTTGTAGTCTTGTTAGTGACTAAAGCCGACATGTTCTTTGGACCCAGCTGTTAATTAATAGCCCATATAGCTAATGGCAACTAAGGGACCCTACAGTTTATAGTGGAATCCGAACCACATTTTTCCTTGTAGCCCTATCTCTTTGTTGGGTAAGTTAGGCTTATTCTGCTTTGCCCATATTGATAAATCTAACCTCAATCCTATAGGCCCTAACCTAACTTAGGCCTAGGCCTAGTGTATTTATAAACTTGGTGTGGCTTGGATTTATTAATGGTAAAAAGTGCTTAAAATAGTCTAGTTTAAGTAGATAAGGCAAAAAAAAATATATAACATAAGTAGTATAAGTTCAGTATTACCGAAGTTGATTTTGTCAAGAAAAATAAACCCAAGTTTTATTTTGGGTAAAATAAAACTTGGGTTTATTTTTCTTGACAAAATCAACTTCGGTAATACTGAACTTATACTACTTATGTTATATTATTTTTTTTGCCTTATCTACTTTAACTAGACTATTTTAAGCACTTTTTACCATTTGCACTTGAAAATCAAGAAGAGTTCTAGAAATTGGCGATTTTAGACACATGAAAAACTTGTTGGGTAGACCTACAGTTTCTTTACTGGACTAACTTATGCTAATATCGATTGAAACTATCAAATTTAAAGTATTGTTTGATAATCGATATATTTACCAGAATGTAGGCTATATTCAGTTATAAAATTAAACTGTCATAACCTAACCTAACCAACCAAACTTGCTAATAGTGAAAACATCGAATGAAGATGTAGGCCTACTAATAATTGGTATTGGCATAGCTAAAGCTAAGTTAAGAAACTGTACCCAACTTCTTTTTAACTTACTTTGTGTCTATAGCTTATTAGTAACCTAACGTAACTTAACCAGGGTTTACCAAAAATCGGTTATTTTGGCACTGAATGTTAACCTAATCATGGGTTAGGTTGGGTTAGTTAGGTTAGGTTAGGTTAGAATAGGTTAGTTTATTATAGGCTATATTTAATTTGGTTTACCAAAAAATGGGGTAATTTTTGGCACTTTACCTCCAATTTTTTCGATTTTTCAAACCTAGTTTCCTGGGTAAAAACGGCATTTGCCAAAAAAGTGTTTAAATTTGACTGATAATTAAAAAAAAAAACACACCCTAAGTTAAAAAGAAAATTTTCAAGCCCCAAAAATCATTGTTTTCTAGCATTTTTCTAGATTTTCAAACGCGGTTTTCAGGGTGAAATAGGCGTTTCCCCCAAAAGTGCTTAAAATAGTCTAATTTAAGTAGATAACGCAAAAAAATTCAATATAACATTTTTAAGAAGTATAAGTTCATAGTACTGTACAGGTAAAATTATACTAGGCCTAAAAAAACAGTAGAAAACATAAAAATTGGTCCGTTGATGAAACTTGCAGGAAACTTAGTAGGCTATTTACAATTAGGTTTTGGAATCTGAAGAGTCCCTAAGTGATTGTGGGGGGTGGAACTACCATACCAGGGGCCCTATTTTTGAAATGGTTGACTGTTGAGTTGTGTGTTGAGACACTCTATTTCCAATAGTTTCGTATTTTTCAAACGATTGACGGTGGACTTATCCAACCAAAACTACTCACCACCTATCGAGCTGTTGAGTGGACGGTTGACTGCACTTTCTTCTTCCTCTCTTTCGGCAAAAATTGCTCTTTTTGAGTCAACGCCATATTGTTATTGCTTTAATTTACTAATTGCGATTTAGAGGTTATGTATTTGTTGTCAATGTCTTAGCACCCAATACTTTATGCGATTGCTTTCTGTAGAATAATTGCATTTTAATTTTATTTACTGTGTCAATACTAGACTATTTAATCAAGCGTTTTATCCTTGTTGGTATGTTTCAAATAGACTAGGCATACTAATTGAACTTATTAAAAGATAATTATTGTTATTAGACCTATGATTTAAGGTATTAAAGATTGTGGTAGAGAGAAACAATATCATAGTTTGTTTCAATACCATTCACCTAATAAAGGGATCAAATTAATTTAAGTTACGATAAGCTTTCAGTGCAATGGCAAATAGCCACAAGCTTTAACCTAAATAAAAACACAATTAAAAATAACATGAAACAAAACGATGAAGGAAACTTAAATAAGGTGATGTGTTCAAAGAAAGCAAATAATAAGCCTATTTAAGATATGACTAAACTTATAATGAGCTACACCATAAAACAAACATCCATAGTAAATTTTATTGTTAATACTTAACTTTATATAAGGTACTTTTGCAATCACTAAGATTAAGCAAGACATAACCTCAATCTCTCAAGAACGGAGTTGACAATTTACCTCAGTATCTCGAAACATGGTAGATTGAGATTAACTGATCCAGATTTTAGAGTAAGAAGAGGTAAAATCGAAGATCGCAAGAACTCTGCATTGTGATTGGTTTAAAATGACGTCATCTGAATTTCGTGCGGTCGTATGCCCTACATTTACAAAACGAGTCACTCAACTAGTTATTCCTAACTCACTTCCAAACTGTTGGATTTCAAAAATACCAAATCCTGTTGTTGGTTGAGTTGAGCATTGACGGTTGACTCAACTGTCAACCATTTCAAAAATAGGGCCCCTGAGACGGCATCACAACCTGTGATTGCAAGGAAAATGAAAGATTGCTGCAGATTTGTGGAGAGAGTTGAAAAAATAAAACACTAAATAGTTTTTAATTATTTTAGTTATTAACGGCCACCATTTTGAAATGACCTAATCAAACTCGATCATTGACAAACCTGGATTAGATATTGTATTCAAGCACTTGTTTGCCAAATTTCATTAAAATCGGTTCAGGCATTTTGGTATTATAACCAATTCATAGCGACCCAGCATCCTCTTACGAGCGCCATATTGATGACGTAATTACGGGCGACCAAGGTCCTTAAAAGTTGGTGTCTGGGCGGATTTACTTTCTTGGTCTTATATTATTTTCACCCTAAGTTGCAGGATCACTGCCAGAACTGAAATATTTTTCTGTTGCCCATCCCCTCTACTAAGCTGTCAGTGTCAAGTTAAGACGACAATGGAGAAGAACGAGTTAGATACTCTGACGATTCCATGGATGGTGATGATGCATCAGTAGCTGATGACATGTGGTGGTTAAAGAGGCGTAACTACCAGTTTCATGGTTAATTTTCCTCACAACCTTAACATATGACACAGACTCATGATCAATTTTGTAATAATTGATATTGACTGGATCATTTTACCTTAATTAATTTGTCATATTTAGTTTTTCATGAATAAATTTGTCTTTTCCTAATAAACTATTAGTTGTATTGATTTAATTATGTTTTTTTTTTTCGATTCTGCATCCTAAGAAACATAGAAAACGACACCCCACTTGCTTGGATCCCATAAATAAAAACTTTCTCAAAATCACTACCCCCATAAACTTTAACCCCCATAAAATGGTACTTCCACCCCCACAATTACTAGGGTCTCTCCAGATTTCAAAACCTAATGGTAATTACTACGTTTCCTGCAAGTTTCATGAACGGACCAATTTTTATGTTTTCTAAGGTGAGTTTTACCTGTACTATCAGTATTA